AAGATAGATAGATTCTATTTAAATCATTAGTGCTCTTCATTTTAATCTATTTATTATTCAAAACTATACGACTAATCAAAACCTGATCATTTACAAGATTTATTGACTTAACTACCAACAATACAAGCATCAGTTAAAATAATTAGGATGTAGTGTTCTTATCACATTGACTCCAGTGAATAAATCTATCTAACAGGAAATAGCATATACTTTAATAAATGAACTCATTGTAATTGTCTTGTCAACCAGAAACAGCTTTCTAAAGAAATACGTGCTAGGCATGGTGGCGTGTCCCAGCACCAACAAAGCTGAGGCAGGACAGCTCTAGGACCTAGGCCGTAAGTTTTAGGTCAAATCCGAGAACTGTAGGAAGGTAAAGCCAACACACTCAGTATTACGTCTTATTATTACATGAGTTGGAAATCGAAATGAAAAAAAATGCTAAGTCATTCGAATGACATAAATATTTTACTCAATGTTCTTTAAGCATATTGCAATGACAGAAGACTGGGAAATATATCTGGCTTTAGAATGTAGTTCATAAACATAAGGTAAACCTAAAGAGGTTAGAGGCTAACAGTGAAGAGCGCTGCCAAGGCGCACTGCACACATATTCAGACTGGGTTAATAAACAGAAAACAAGGGAAGCACACACGGAGAGCACAACATTACCCCAGCGAAGCAAATCCAACTGACCACAGATGCTGGTGCACAGTCAAGAGATCTTAAGGATATGTCCGAGTATACAAATATTAAATATAAATGTAATTATAGGCTTATCAATAACTGATTATGAAGCAATTGAATGTTTGTTTTACAAGCCTTACTCCTGGATCAAGAGTCAGACATGAGTGATTGGTCCTTACAAAGAAATAATTAACTAAGCCACTGCCTTTGATGTTCTTATTCCATCAATTAAGTAAAAACAACAATAAAGCAAAGAGAATAGAAACTCCCTTCTCAAGGATGCCCAGGGACTTAATTTTCTTGACTATCTTGACAATTTCTTTGGGACACCCATGTCCAGCAGCGAGACAAGAGGCTCCCTGCATAAATCACACAGACAGTATCTCTTATTCTAGAATTTTAGCTCCTGGAGAGAGACAAGGAGCCCTAGTGATGACTGTTTGACCAAGTCTACCTTCAAAACAAGTTTGTCCTAATTAACACTGACTTCCTTTTTCTCTATTCTCTCTGTAGGTTCAGCATGCAGCTTATTAGAACTGTGAAAGTTTTGCAGAATTTGAACTGCTAATACTTTTGAGGGCACAAGGCCTGTGTTGAACTCTGAAATCAATTTTGGACAGGAGGTCTTTGAGTAGAGTGGAATTGAATTCTGATAAGACTTAAATTATCTTTCCAAGTAGCTATGGAAAGATGTCATTAAAGAAGGGCCCCGACTACAGGTTCTTACGATGGGGAGAAATCACGGAGGAGATAGTAAAGTTCATTATTTGAATTCACACAGCTCTTCCAAGTGTATGATTGAATATCTCCCAGATAGTCTTCCTGGCTATAAGTGCAGTGCACGATACGCGACCAGAGCAGAGAGTTCTAGCATCCTAAATAATCTCAGACAGCTTATCCTTGCAACAGTCTGCATTCTGAGCCGATGCACTAGAAAACGATTAAAAATACAAAATTGAAGCCTTGTTACTCACCCAGGAAAGTAAACATTAAGGAAAAGAAAAAAGGAAAATAGGTAGATCTAAGAAGCAAAACAGCTTCCTAGAGCAGACGGAATCTGAGTTTCGCTGCACACGTCAGGAATGGTAAATAGGTCACCGAATCTAATTATAATTAAGTTCAAATGTAATGTTTATTCAATAGCTTTTCCTGAGCAGACCAAGGGTGGTTACAAAGATTCCATCTTCAGGAGTCTTATGGGAAACCAGTGCCACCAATTCTACTATATGGATAAGACAACCAAGGCTTAGAAAGATCAAGTAAGTTGTCCAAGACGGAAAGCTTTGACTGAATCCAGTTCAAACTCATGTTCTCTGCATACTCTTACATTGTTTCTTAGTACTGTATGTGAGACACTTGCTTAAAAAGCATAAAAATGAGCAGCTGAAGAAGTCTTCCACAAAAGCATTGTTACAATAGCAACAGTCAGAAACACAGTCAAAAAAAGGACCAAACAGGAGCTATAAAAAAGTAACTGCCAGAGAAACCCTGTCTCGGAAAAAAAAAAAAAAAAAAAAAAAGTAACTGCTCCATGTCAGAAGCATGCTAGGGCTTGCTTCTGCTGCCGCCAAATTTACAGCAATGAAAAGGATTTCACAACGGAGTCCTGAGCTATTAGAAAGTGCTGCCCACTTAAAAGAGGTCAGACTTACAAGACGCCTTCCTCTTTTCAACAAAGATTCCAAAGGGTGGTACTTGAGCTGAATGACCTAAGAGGTGATATTTTGCAGCCTAGACGTATCTTATGTAGACGATGCGGCTTCCAGAACAACATGGCATTTATGGTCTGAATAACTAAATACAATCAGTACTGCCCAAATCACAGGACCAGAAGGACATGTGGCTAATACAGCCCTGGCTGTGTCCAGTGGTAAGCAGAAGTCACCTCTCTCCTGCATCTCTATTCTCCCTTCTAGAGAAGCTAGCAAGTGACCTTAAAATGGTTTATTTTCTCTTTTTCTCCCACATCTTTAGCTGATGACAATATAATGACGCTACATGTGTTTACATTGCTCCTGGAAGGAAAACAAAATAAAATCAAACCTAAGAGATGCAATGTAATATTATATGAATATATATAAAATCTCAGTCATGGAAAACTGAGCTCTGCGCTGCACACCCCTGCGTTTCAATAAGTTCAATGGTCCAGAATATTGTTAGCAACTGGGCTGGTTAGTTTTGTGTCAACTTGACACAGGCTAAGGTCACTGAAAAGGAGGCAATCTCAATTAAGAAAATGCCTCTTAAGACTGGGCTGTAGGCAAACCTGTAGGGCATTGTCTTATATTTAGTGATTGGTGGGGGAGGGCCCAGCCTATTGTAGGTGGGGCCATCCTGGGCTGGTGGTCCTGGGTTCTGTAAGAAAGCAGGCTGAGTGAGCCATGGGGAGCAAGCCAGTAAGCACCATGGCCTCTGCATCAGTTCCTGCCTCCATGTTCCTGCCCTGACTTTCTTTAGTGAGGGACTGTTACCTGGGGATATAAGCTGAAATAAACCCTTTACTCCTCACGTTTCTTTTTTTTTTTTTTTTTTTTTTGGTTTTTCGAGACAGGGTTTCTCTGTGATTTTGGAGCCTGACCTGGAACTAGCTCTTGTAGACCAGGCTGGTCTCGAACTCACAGAGATCCGCCTGCCTCTGCCTCCCAAGGGCTGGGATTAAAGGCATGTGCCACCACCGCCCAGCGCCTCAAGTTTCTTTTAGTCATGGTGTTTTGTCACAGCAAGACACCCTCATTAAGACACCAACTGAGGCCAGGCACTTGGTGTCTTAATGAGTTCGAGGCCTTAAAACCAGGACAGGAACCAAAAGCTACAGAGAAACCCTGTCTCAAAAAAAATCAAAAAAAAAAAAAAAAAAGACACCAACTGAGGCAGAAATGCCAATAACTCCGAACTCTGGAGACCTGCAGATTTCTGGGTCCAGTACCTTATTCTCAAGTTTTCTTTTCTTTTTCTTTTTTTTTTATTTTTTAAATTTATTTATTTATTAAGGATTTCTGCCTCGTCACCACAACCGCTTCCCATTTCCCTCCCCCTCCCCCGATCAAGACCCCCTCCCTCATCTGCTCGAAGAGCAATCAGGGTTCCCTGACCTGTGGGAAGCCCAAGGACTGCCCACCTCTATCCAGGTCTCGTAAGGGGTGCACCCACACACTAAGACAATGGGGATGTTCTATTGGGATCTCACCAAGGCCAGCTGGCCTAGGCCTGAAAAAGCATGGGATAAATCCGGACTAGCTGAACATAGCGGACAATGAGGAATACTGAGAATTCAAGAACAATTGCAGTGGGTTTTTGATCCTACTGCATGTACTGGCTTTGTGGGAGCCTAGGCAGTTTGAATGCTCATCTTTTCTTTTTCTTATTTATTTTTATGTATTTTTATTTTTTGGCTTTTCAAGACAGGGTTTCTCTGTGTAACAGCCCTGGCTGCCCTGGAACTAGCTCTTGTAGAACAGGCTGGCCTTGAACTCACAAAGATCCACCTGTCTCGGCTTCCTGAGTGCTGGGATTAGAGGCGTGTGCCACCACCGCCCAGCTCCTCAAGGTTTTTTAATGTTGGAAGGGCTTGGCAGTGGGGACAACCAAGGCTGTTTTGTAGGTTTGCAAAAGGTACTACTTTTCCCACAACTATGTTCCACATATAAATCACAGCCAGAAAGACAGCAAAGGAATTTACTTTGGACAGAAAATCATTTTGTAATTCATCAAACCACGAGATCAGAGGGCAGCTTAGTAGATTAAAAAGCAATGTAAAATGCTGAGAAAATGTGACTTATGTTCAGTCACTAAGCATAGGTTTCTTCTTTTAAAACAGAACAGCCTTACTACCTCAAGGTACTCTATAACAAAGAGGTTCTCTACATCACAGACAATCTGGGGATTGGGGAACTAAAAATGATTCTGCAGAGATCATTAGTCCAGAAGTTTGGAAGACCACTGATGAATTCAGCCATCTACTAAGCCTTCTCCAAGGTACTGGGACTTCACATGCAGAATGAGACTGAGTAACAGGACCTAGAACTTTGCCAACGAGGAACCTTTTGTATACATCACAGAGAACATACCGTTTCTACATAGAGGCCAGGAAACCTTTCTGGCAAACCGCTAATTGAAAGGCAACTGTCTCCCAACACAATTTTCTGACCTCCTATGATGCTAACTACACACACCCACACATATAAACACAGTATGGCAATTTATGCATGTACACATCTTTTGAAGTTCAAAGCATTGATGGCGACATTTATGTGGAGTGACTGGTGTTTTGTCAAAGAAGGCAAAGCAGATGAAGACCCAGTGTGGAGACTTACAATGTAGCAGGGCTCACAGTAGGCTTTCTTCTCCACGGCATAGAAAGGCTGTCCTCGGAGCTTGTTGTTACAGACGATGCAGGTGAAGCAATCCACATGGAAGACTTGATCCATGGCGGTGCATCCTGTCCCTTCCCCAACCACGTTCTCCCCACAGCGAGCACAGCGGCCTGCAAGATAAAGGGTTGCTTGTTACAGAGGAACTCCTGGATCATCCCAAAGAGGCCAAGGTGAGGGAGGTAGCAGGCTCCTCCTGTAGCAGCTGGAGACACAGTACTAATGGTATTACTACACTGACCAGCAACCCCACCACGGTCTCCACTGCCATCACTGCACGAACTAGCTCATGAACGGCTAACATTTTCTTGAAGCTCTTGGGTCAACACATTTCCCATTCATGGCACTCTATGTGGATTTACTATTCTTACTCTAAAGACGGAGAAAGGTAAGTCCCAGAAGATATTTAACTAATTTCATGCCCAAGCAGCCCTGCCTGAGTAGTGTCTACTCCAACCCCATGGCTGCATTGCCTGTTCTGCGGATCTGGCATTATGGAATATAATGGAGTGACTTCACACTGAAGAAGGCTTTCAGCACCCCGTCACATCGGACTGACAGCCACTTCACACTTGAAACTGGGAGGGGTAAATGTTTCAATAAGAAGAGGTAAATAGATTTTTCTCGGGTTGTATTTGGTCCTGGAAATATTCCTTTGGATTCTGATGCAGGACTAGAGCAATCTTTAAAACAATTAAACAAACAAACTTGAAGCATCATCAGTCAAACACCGGGAAGAGTTCAAGTATTTAAAAATGACGGTCTGTATTCCAGTGGTGTTGTTGTGAAATTTCAGCATTGTGTTTTTGATATTTAACACAATTATGATAAACTTCTGTCCAAGAGTTCCTTTACACTTATATTTTAGCATCAGACACAGAATTAGAAATGCTCCTTCCAAGTCTTGTACCTTTTCCACTCATAGTAAGAAAGCTAATTTTTTTCACAGGGTGCAATTTTTGTGATTATTCTCAAAACAAACAAACAAACAAAAAAACCCCCGTTCTTCAAACTTTATTGGTTTACTAAAAAAACTGAGTATGCTTTGAAAATTGATGGTATACCTCTGAAGATTTCATGCCAACAAATGACATTTTATTGTAGAAAACAGACTGAGAAGTGGGGCAAATTGACCAAGCCATGTGAAGATTATTAAGAACCTGCTGAATTCCCTTGAGAAGTATAATTTTTATAATATAAACTAAGTATAAGTCAACGTACTTATTTTTCTATATTAACATCTCTTTCCATAAGTCGAAAGATCACTTAATAGGATACTGAGAAGCACATAGGATCTATGAAACGTACTTTGCCAAAATAAGGACGGGATCGTGTGATGGCCATGGTGGCTGACTCGGCAGCAGAAGTAGCTGTTTGGGTCTTGACCATGAATGCTCAAAGTGCGGTTCACGGAATCAAGAGCCCGAGTTCATAAGGTATCTGCAGAGCTGGACAGCTACCCTGGGCCTGGAACAACTTTAATCACTAGCTTACAGGAAAAGCCCTCTCTAGACAGGAATGTTTTGGTTTTCAATCAGTTTAGCAGACTCCAGAGGTCTGCTCTTTGTCCAGTATGACAGTCTGCTTTTGTGTGACATCAAGAAGTGGACCAGTCACCATTAGTGCTTCTTACAGTGATTGTGGCAGCTTCCTAGGTCCAACAATCCATGACTACATGTATGGCACGCTGCGGAAGAACGTCCTGTAGAAATATGCAAGGGAAGTCACATCCAAGCAAGCTGTCTGGGAGTTTCCCGAGGAAACAGGCAATTGAATTTGACCTTAAAGAATGTTGACAGGTAGAGGAGGAAGGGAGAAAAACACTGCAGTTTTTCCCCAAAGAAAGGATGGATGTCTGTGGCTTGCTGGATGCAAAAACATTGTAGTGCCTGGTGATGGCAAAAGGTTTTGTCTGCTCGCCACCAAAGCAGATGGCCTGAATTCCCAGAAACAATTCCCTCTTTATGTCTGGGCAATATTCTCCCAGAGTAGGCCAGGCTAATGTGCTGGACCCAGACATGACCAGTTCTGTCACCCCCTGTATTGTTCCTGTTCTTGGGATAAATTAGGGACACCAGCCTCAAGGGCAGCCAGTCTGGCACCTTACGATTCACAGGCACAGAAAAAAATCAGCAAAGAACAAAAGTTAAAAATAGCTCTACAAACCAGCAACAGAGAAAAGGTGCCCAAATGTTCCCCCTTTATATTAACAAAATTGTACAAACCGTTCCTTGGGGAGGGCATTCAGAATGCAAGGCGAGCGACTCAAGCAGAGGGTATCCTTTAGGTATCAGGACCTTAATGCCCATCTTTTAGATAAAATTATCGGTGCTTGAAATAGGCACGATCAGAGGGATGGTTGACAGGCTTCAAGCCATCAGGGATAAAGGAAACACAGTTGACTAGGCAACAGGAGGCAGGAGCTCAGAAACAGGGCCAGCACCCAGAACTTCTGAGCAATGCTTAACAAACCAACTGAACCAAGGGCCTCCACACACAACAAGAGATTTCATATATTATTACTGCCTGTGCTGGCTTTGGAGCCTGTGCCCTTTTCTCCAGTTTCCCATGTGGAGCAACTTCCTTAAGGCTGATGAAACCAACTTTGTAAATCTCTGTGAGTTCGAGCTGAGTTTCCTTAGCCTGGGAGACTACAAGGGCTTCCTTATCGCTTTGAACCTGTGGTTGTCTTACTGCTACAAATGGAAAGGCCTTATGGGAGTCTTAATAATTGAGCTAAACCCGAACAGCCAGACTACTTCAACTAAATAGTAGACAATATGTCAGTAGAGAGGGGCAGTCTAGGAAAACCAACAGGCTAAGCAAGTAAAGTTATCAGCGAATAGGATCATTTTCATGCTTGGAGGTTGTGCTCACTTTATAACTTGCAAAAAGAATATTTGATTTAAAAATACTTTCCTAATAATCACTGCAAGCAAAGGGCATTTTCAAGAAAGTGTATAAGAACTTTGGCCAGTACCTCACACTCTGCTGCATCTGCCTCCTCTTTCCAGCCCTTTCTGTCTCTTGTTAATCCCTTTGGTATCGGGCTGGCTAGTTTTATGTCAACTTGACTGACACAAGTCATAGTTTGAGAGGAAGGAACCTTGATTGTGAAAATTCCTTCATGCTATCATGCTGTGGTGGGACATGTTCTTAATGAGTGATTGATGGGGGAAAGCGGGTGATGCTACCCCTGGGCTGGTCATCCTGGATGAGTAAGCTATGGGGAAGAAGGCAGTAAGCAGTACCCCTCCATAGCTCCTGCCTCCAGGCTCCTGCCCTGCTGGAGTTCCGGTCCTGACTTCCTTCAATGATAAACTGTGATGTGGAAGTGTAAGCAAAACAAACCTTTCTTTCCCAGGCTGTATTTGATCATAATGTTTTTATCAAAGCAACAGTAACCCAAAGACAGCTAGCCTAGACAGTTTCATTTCTATTTTGCCTGTGTATGTGTGTGTGCGCGCGCGCGCGCACACACACACACGTAAAATCAAGGACCTACGAGTGAGATAAAACATGAAATATCTGTCTTTCTGAGACTTAATTAGCTTGATAAAATTATCTCCAGTTGTATCGATTTTCCTACAAATGACATTACTTTGTTGTTGTTCTTTTTTTAAGTGAAACATAGGCCATGGAAAAATGCTGCTTCCTGGGCTGATCCCCATTGCCTGATTTCCTTTTTCTTTTTAAAAACATTAATTAATTAATTTCTACATTTTAATTAAAATATAATTATCCTACTTCCTTTATCCTTTTCCTGCCTCCAGTCCCTCCCCAGTCCAGTCCACTCTCATAATGATATCCTCTTTTTCTCTATTATTGCTTCACACACACTACACACACACACTAGACACACACAAACACAGACACACGCGCCATCTTGTGTCCATTTTTGTTTGTGTGTGTGTGTATGTGTGTGATTGTATGATTTCAGAGCTGACCACTTTGTATTGTATAACCAATCAGGGGCCAAGCCTGGGTGAGGCTGTTGGTTCCGGTGCTCTCAGCAGTCATTAGTGGCCTGGAGTTCTTTGTGTTGTAGGTAGGGCCCTCTGAGAGTGACATTCTCTACTCTTCTGCATTAGCAATTCTACTTAGAGCCGTTGCTCAAGTCTTATTTGTTTCTTGCACGTAAGTGTTCAGTCTGCATGAATGTTTATGCACCAAGCGGTGTGCCTGGTGTCTGAGGAGGCCAGAAGAGGGTGAATCCCCTGGAACTGTTGGGAGTCACATGGGTTGCTGGAAATCCAACCTGGGTCCTTTGGATTAGCAGTCGCGGCTCTTAATCCTGGAGCCATCTTTCCATCCCCAACTTCATTCCTCCTCTGTTCAGACACCTAGGCTCATTACATCAATTCACTGCTGTGAACAGTGCTACCATAACCACCGATACGCACGTGACATGCTGCCATACAGTCCTTGAGGTAAAGTGTGAACAGCAATACAATAACCATGGATATGCAAGGTCACAAGGGCATCTCCCTCTAGAGTTTGGGAAGGCCCTTAGGAGGGTTTATGCAGCAAGATACTAAACAATGATGCACTAACAAGGTACCATCCTGGAAGCACACAGGGGTCTTGACAAGTCAACAACCTTGCCAGTGTCTTATGTTGGAAAACCCAATCTCTAGATCTATAAAGAAATCTTTGGGCTTTACAAATTATCTAGTCTCAGCTATTATGTCATAGCAGTATAAAATAGACTATTAACATTGTGTGGCTACTAAAAGATTTCTGCCTTCCAGTCCCTGCTCCAAGGGGAGATACAAATTTAAATCACAAAAAGGCAAAAAAGCATGTTTTAAGTACAATCTTTCGAAATTCTGGCTCATCTGGAATTGTAAATAAGACCATCTCCCCCTTCATCAAAGGAACTGGCACAGGAATAACCTTGTGAATGAGCTGAGAAGTAGGTAGCAGAGCTGACCTTTAAGGGATCCAACAGCGATCTATGAGTCAGCTAAAATGACCCTGACATACAAGGCCGGCACCAGAGGCAGGTGACAGTCTCAATTGGCACAATCTCTGTAGGAAGCCAATTAGTCTCCTTGTCTACTTCAAGACCCAATGTCTAGAATGTGCTCCTGAGAGGCTTCAGACAGGCCCC